AGTTAGCATTCAAATCGAGGTATACTTTATATCTTTTGTGCTTAAAATAATCCTATTCAAGTAAGCTAACATTGTACATCCACAGTGCTTACTTTGTAGGAAAATATACCACTACTATATGAGATAAACTTGTGTAACAATATCCTCTGCTAATCTTACCTGTGTGGTAATGGCTAACTCCATGTGTGTCTTCACGCTTGCATTAGTAACTCCAAACATTAGACCGCGAATGGAAAAACATGTTGAATACACGTGTTTTATAACAATGAGTCTCTCGCAAAAGCGAAGGGTGACGTCACGGACCTTAGTGTTAAGACAGAGTGAATGTAGCAGTACGAAACAGTTAACAGATCCTAAAAAAGGGGAACTGTCGCCTGTCACCTGATGACTGGTCTACAGACCACCTATACAGAGCGGTTCGAACTGGTGCCTTTGTCGTTCCTACTTCACTCAAACTGTCCGTCCACTTTAGGCGCATTTTCGCTCTAGTTCATCATTGCATGATGAGGCATACTTGTGTCAAATGTTAAGTAAGTCCTGGGGGTGTCACGCTTTGAACCGAGCAATCCGGACTGATGGCGTTTTGAAAATCATAAACTTTTGAATGAACCCAGATGTTAACATCAGGCTTAGATTTAGCTCTCGAGGTTCACTTCATTAACATCTGATGATGGCACTAGATCATTATGTGATGAGTTCTTACAAATATTTGTTCAGGAATGATCTTTTCAGTGTCATGGAAGAGTAAAAGAATACTAAAGGCCTGAGGAATCAATTGACAAAATACGCACCTGCACAATGATATCACTTTCAAATTGAGACGTCATGAACTCTTCATTATATTTTAATGAAGCTGTGGTGCCATGATTAATGTAAAACGGATTGTCATTGATCAGATCTGGAGTAATTAATGGTGAAGAGCAAACTGCTGAGGAATAATGTATTTTCAGATATCTGTTTGATCATCTAATCAGAGTGAGGTTTCTGTTGTCTTTCGTTCTCGTACTCTTCAATATGATATTGAATATGATTTCTCTCCGATTATGTTTTTCTTCTATTCCAAGAGATAGTCTGGATCTTGGGACACTACAACCTCTTGAGCAGATGATGGAGGCCCTGCTACCACCTCACACTTGAAGGAAGAATATACACATGCTTGCAGTGTATTCAGTGTGCTTGCCTGACACCCTACGGAAACAACTCTCTACAACCGCCTACTGAGTTGGCCCTTGAATCTTTTCATCAAGGAGAACACCCCTTCTTTCCCTCTTACATCAACCAGACTTCATCGTTCTTTAACATCTATACCCTGTATGATTGTTGATTCAGTCCAAGGGCTCTTCCTGCCTACCTGTGGATATGCTGATCCGAGCCTAAGGAGCCCCTCCTACCCCCTTGATAACTTGAACTAAGTGTTAATTGCAAGACTCTAGATGAACGATTACGTTTGCTTCTAACCTCCTTTCCATCTTGTTATCCTGTCTGACCCAAATACAATTGTCTTATCCCTTGTCTTTCAAACTGATATTACTGTTCCCCCCGCGCCTTCACTCTGGTCAGTCTACTGCCTCAGACCCTCTGTGTCAGTTGCTCACCGTATCCTGGGCATACGCAATAAAACTTACATCACACAGCAAACTTGAAACTAAGGACTTTTCTCAACAACCGGCAATATCCACACGATGAAGATCTTCCTTTCGCCAACATAAACACAGTGTTCTTATACATGATAATATAGTATGTTTTAATGTAACACTTGTGGCCATTAGCATTGTTTTCCAGTCTGATCAGCCTATGCTCTTCTTGTTCCTACACCCTCACTGTCGTTTACACTCTCTGCCCCATGTCAAGACATACAATCAACATTACTTTTGGACTCCACTGTAGCTGTAACAAAACTGTCAATAATTTAAAACATTAGAGTTTATATTTCATAGTCTTCAGCCATTATTAGTTAATATCAGTGTGCTGTTCCAACAGCATCACTTATTTAGAGGGAGATTGTTTACTGGAGCAAATAAATATGAACTGTCTCACACATTAGGACTCATGATGAATAAATGATATACTTGTTTTAAATTCTGTTCCACTGTTGATTCACCTACTTCTTTTTTTAAACAAACTTACATATGACAAGCAATTCAGCTTTAACTTAATTGACAACTATTTATTGATTTTAAATGCTTGAGTGATTGTAAATTGTACACCATTTAATTAATCTATTTTAGACATGTTTCCAGTGTTGTAAATTGTTTAAATTAATGTAGTTTATAATGTCCAATAAAGTAATTTATGAAGCTCTTGCTTTAACTTATAGAACACATCTGGTATGAATTTTCACAATAGTAACATGTACAGCACTGTGTGACTTTTTCTATGTTAGCTTTAATCAACAACATAAATACTAGAAATATTTAAATGTTGCTGTCCGACAACACTGACAGTGAAGGATCATAAAACATTCTAATGTTAATCTGTAAATACTTTCACCTGTGGAGGTGGTGACAGTGCTAGAGTTGATCCATTACTTAATCACAGTTTAATATTTATAAATTCTGATCTTAAAAGTGTTGCTACCATCACCTGTCAACAACAGCAGAAAAGAAGTTTCAGGTAAGAAACTGAACCTGTGAATCCTGAAGACAGAGAATAATAAACAAACTCATCAGCAGTTAGTCTGTCATTTCATCAGAGGAAGCTGAACTGGGAGAGGTTTTCTACCATCATCATCATCACAGCACATTAGAGAACTAAGGATGTCCATGCAGTCTCCCTTCTCCACAACCAGATGAATGGAAACAAATGGGCTGCTCTGTACATGAGGTCCTCCTTCTGTTGGCACAGATCACTCAGTTTTCACAGTGTGGAAACCTTTCAAATGACAATAAAACACAAAACACTTGAGTTAAGATGCGGTGGATCACAGTTAATCACAAATATCGATCAGCTGTCAGGATAGGTGCATGAATGTCTGCTTCAGTTGAGGACTGGTTTGACTGTTAAATGAATTTTATTCTACATGACAAATATTTGTCTGCACATTTTTATACGTCACGTTATCTTAACTTGAACTATCACGACGTCTTGATGGACAATGTATTAACCAACATTAACGCTGCGTATTAGACTAACGCAGATCACTTAAACTGGGTCACATGTGGAGAAACACCAAACCAAACGTCGTTAGATTCAATTAAGATTAAATTCACCTTTTTATTGGGCTTTGACTGAACACCTCCACGGGCTAACCCAGGTTGACAAAGGTTATCAGCCCAGCGGGGCCAGGTACCGTTAGCATAGCAATCGCTAAGTTATCAGCTAACGCTAGCACTAGCACTAGCTTGGTTAGCAAGGTGCATCTTCAACTGAACTGTGATTCAGACCATAAACACGTAATGAAAACGTTTACGGAGGTAACAAATCAAGTGACAGGTAGGGTCATTTTCCCATAGACTTAAATATAATCGGACTTCTTTTTGCAACCAGTGGAGTCACCATGATGGTCATTCGAGAGAAAGCAAGTTTAACGAACTTCTGCATTGGCTTCATTCTCCAGACTCGGAGTTGACGTCCTTTCTTTTATACAGTCAGTGCTCTGGACCAGAAAGCAGGAAGTCTCTTCCCTCTTCTTCACCTCTTTCTGTAGTAGTTTGCTCGGCGAATCACTGCCCCCTTCTGGACATACGTGAGAAATGTCGGATAACACTTACTGCTAAAGAACATTCGTTGTAAACACTTGACGTAATCAAACAAATTAATACTAAATGTAGATTTAAGATTTTGCCCAAATAATTTTTTTTTAAGTAATCTTGAGCGTCGAAATGAAATTCAAGCGAAAACATAAAGTTACAATGAGAGAAACACGACAAAGGCATGTTCACTCTGATTGGCTGCGAGCCTGTTTGTGAACGGACTTCGAGTCAAAGGAAACAGCAAGAGGAGGATCAAGAGCAGAGGTGGGTAGAGTAGCCAGAAATTGTACTCAAGTAAGAGTACTGCTACTTTAGAATTTTATTACTCAAGTAAAAGTAAAGAGTAGTCACCAAAATATTTACTTGAGTAAAAGTAAAAAGTATGTTGTGAAAAAACTGAGTGGAAAGTACTGAGTAACTGATGAGTAACCTGTTCGTTTAATGATGACGGCAACAAATAATGCACAAAAACATAAAAATAGCAATGAACAAATTCAGAGCCAAGAATATCTCTTAAGCAACTAAAACAATAATAAATTAAATAATAATACATTAAAATTGTCGCGAAGCGCTCGTTGCTGCCATTGTGTTCTGCTTCTTTGCTGCCGGTGTTTGCCGCTGAAAGTTCGTGTGCAGTTAGTCATGTGACCGCCTGGCTCTGTTTGATTGGTGAAACGGAGTCAAACGTCACCAGTGACCGCATTTGATTGGTGAAACGCAGTCATGCGCTGGATCCTACTTTGGAGGTCTCTGACAAACCAAAACAAACAAAGCGTGCATTAACAGATCGATAAAAATATGTAGCGAGTAGCGAGCGTAATGTAGATAAATGGAACGGAGTAAAAGTAGCGCTTCTTCATCACAAATATACTCAAGTAAAAGTAAAAAGTATGTTGCATTAAAACTACTCTTAGAAGTACAATTTATTCCAAAAGTTACTCAAGTAAACGTAACGGAGTAAATGTAGCGCGTTACTACCCACCTCTGGTCAAACACCTGTACAGTACGTCACTCCTTTAGTTTGGTAAGTGTACCTCGGTGCACGTGCATGTAGGCATCCTCCAAACCGACGACACCCCTTTCATTCTCAGTGGACGTTGTTTCATTTAGCCCCGCCTTGTGTTGGCTCTAATTGGAGAGTGTGTCCTGATTCAGACGTCCATCATTTACTTTTTCTGCACTGCTATTGGTTAAAGAAATACAACCCTCGTTACTTGACCTCTAGGTTCCGCCTATTTTTTATCCATCGGGCTGTGGTTGGATCCCTGTCAAGTCAGTCAAATTTTAACTTCCGGGTGTTGAGTCGTTGCAAAACAGACCATCCAGCCGTACAGTGGTAGAGGAGGACAGTCACCGAGGAAACCCTGGACAAAGCAACTTTAGGAAAAGTGAGTCAAGAAATTTGTTAATAGCAGACTGTTTCCTTTAATAACGTGTTTTCTCATGTAGACTAATAAACCCTGGGTGTAAGTGTTTGGATGTAGCGAGGCTAGCTTGTTATTTCAGGCTTCACTCAGCAGCTACTGACGTTATACAACGTGGTAACACTGGGATACAGGAGCTAGCTAATGAGCTTGATAACGTAGCCGAGAGTATGAAATTGTTGTTAAATATTATTCATGTCTTGTGAATTTGTGATGCTAGCTACTGTAAGTCATAGTTGCAATGTTACTGCAGGTGACACGTGATCATGACACATTGTCTTGAAACACGAGCAGCTGATAATATCCAAGGTTAAACCATCTAGCAGGATAAAAAACACAATGCATTTTGTGTCCCAAGAGTCTTTTCATTGATCTGTCGCCTTACAAATATCTTCATGGCTGTATTAAGTTGCAAATGTTGGTTTATGTGGGTTAAAGAGTGCGGTGGGTGTGTCTGGTACTTTATGTACTTCTGACATGTTCCTTACTCCCTCCTCTCTCCCCACCTCTCTCTATGAAGTGATGCTGTCAGAGGTCCTGCAAGTGCTGCGAGGAGCAGGTAAAGTGGGGTCTGCCCTGGTCACCACCCAGGGAGAGCAGCTCCGATTAATGGTCTGCAACTCTTCTCTGGGAGCAGGAGTCAACGTTGCCCAGAGTGTGGTGGAAGGACTAGTGGACACCTTCATGGGAGGCAGTAATGCGGTGAGGTTCTTGAATTCATCTTCAATCTATCACTTTGGGCTCTGGGAACTTGTGATTTGCATTTGGCATTATTTGTGTACAAAGTGATTAATAAAATCTTTAAAAGAGTAATTGAGAAATAAAATGATAATAAAAAATAACAGCCCCAGTTATATGCACATATAGTAATTATTTGGCTAAATTACCTCTTCAACTCTACTGTGCCCGTAGCAACAGTCCATAAAGGAGGATGTGTTTCCGGATGCGGAGGGCTGGGATACTATGGACCCTGATGAAGCAGCCAAATGGGCCGTCGGATCTGAGTTTCCCCCCGATGCAATGGAGCAAACCCAGACAGAAGCTGGAGCAACAGCAGATATGCCAACAGGTATTGTCAAGTTCCACTTGTTAGCATATAGAGGAGGTGACCTACATTAAAAGAGTTTTTTGTATTTAAGTATATTATAATGCCAGTTGTCTTTCCCCAGAGTTGTAATTACTGTTAAGATTGTTTTCAGGATCTGGTAAATATTTTACTTCACTGGATGAAATCAGAGCAAACATTTATGGTTCTATCATGTTAAGGTCATCTATTTAGTAAGAAAATGACCCTTTCCTCTCTCTACTGTAGGAGTAAATCCTCCCCCAGGCGCAGCGGCAGGAGGGGCAGGCTGGCCTGGACAGAGTACTCGCTTCCTCCACACCACGCGTGGCCTCCACCAATACTACTACCAGACCAGGTCTGTGCACGACACTGTGGTGGCCAGACTCACACCAGAGGACATTAAGAAGGCCAGGGAGGCCAAGCAGGCCCTGGTCAAACCTGTCAGACAGAAGGTTGGTAGAATGGCTCGATTTGTTATACCCGTGAAGAACACCATGGCTAATTATTTGTTTTATTCTTAGCAATATTGTTACAGTTAATTTTATATTGTCATCTGTGTGATTGTGCAGAAAGAGGAAGGTGAATCAGCTGATTTTTGTCTACATAGAAGCAATGCATTTAAAAATGGATTAGAATATAATTTAAGCTTTGAATGTAAAGAAATATCACACAGTCATACTCAAACGTTGCACCTATACCAAGATGGGCTCTTTTCATGTCAGGTAAAATCAGTGCATTGACTAAAAGTAATAGATTCTCTTTTAAAATGTAATCTTTTCAAGGCCAGATAATAGGGGGCATCTTTCTCTTTGTCGGGTGATAGATGTGTTTTTGTATCTTGTACACACACTAAGTGAATATACAGTAATTATGTACATATAATGTAAGTGCACATTATTGCATAAACCACAAACAGTGGTGTGGACCATATTTTGAGTAGACATACAGTATGTTATGTCATATGTTTGCCTTTGTGATGTAATTCAAGGTTACTGTGTGAAGAGTTCAGCTCTTTGTTTCTCAAGTTAACAGTTAATCAACAACGAATGAAACAACAAATTAATTGTTTCTTTATTATCTGGTGTGTCTTCTTTCAGCTGAGTGACCGTGCCAGAGAGAGGAAGGTGCCGGCCACTAGAATCAGCAGACTGGTTAATTTTGGGGGTAAGAGCAGTGTACTCTTTCTTCAGTTTTGTGCTCGAAAATGGTCAATTCTGTTTGAAATGTTCCAGCATTATTAGTTTTTCATAGCTTAATATGATGGCATGAAGTTCAAATGTATACCATAACAAACCATTAATATAAACGTATTAGAAAGTATTAAAACATTTCTGATGGAAATGTAGAATTTAGTCCCATTTACTGTTCTCTGAATATTCTTGTATTTTAAATTGATATACTGTATATTCTCACTGACAACTGTTAGTCGAGGGCTGTCCATGTTTCCAATGAAAGGGGAATGCTATAGCATTTTTAATCTAAAAGTGTGTATTTATTAAGTGCCAGAAGTTAAAAAACACTTTAACATTTAGCAAAAGATACCAGAATGTGATTTCACTCTTCAGCTAGCAGCAGCTGTGTCAGATCAGTGCTTCCTTCAAGCATCTGTTTAGTGGCCCTTAATTTAAAACCACTTGTGTGTCTGTCTCTCTGCTGCAGGACTGGCAGTAGGACTGGGGATCGGTGCCATTGCAGAAGTGGCAAAACAATCACTGGGAGGCAAACAAAAAGGAGGTAAAAATACTCTCTTCCCCCCTCCTGTCTGCTGCTGTTCTCTCCTCCCATTCTATAAAGTAGCTTTTAATCCAGCTCATGGTTGGCAGATCCAGCAGACAGATACACAGCTGGTCGGCCCTGGAGAAGTTTTTAATGTGTCAGCACCTGCCAGGCGCTCGACAGGCTTTAAATCAAACCTGTTAACAAGAATTTAAACAGAAGCCTTAAAATGTGTTTAGTGAACAGTGTTTAATAATGTACCCCTGACCAAGTTTTTACATTCTAATATTTACAACGGGCTCAGTTTAGGACAGGAGATTGGTTATTTACATGCAGCAGTTTGAAGATCATCGCTAAGACAAATCACTCTTGTTTATGCTGTTGTACTTGATGTTGTAATATGTTGTGCCTAATACTACTGTTAATAATCCCTCTCTATCTCTGTGTGCACTGTCTGTTTTGTAGACATGAGTGCTCTGCTAGACTCTCCTCTCTTGTCAGAGGCCAATGCTGAGAGAATAGTCAACACGCTGTGTAAGGTTCGTGGTGCTGCGCTTAAGATAGGACAGATGCTGAGCATTCAAGGTACGAACTGTAGCCACTGCATCACTGCAAAATGCTGTTCTGATCACAGAGGATTTCTGGGTAGTGAAAAGTTTTTTTTTGACAACTTTTTAAATTTTTCCTGTCTTCAGACAACTCCTTCATCAACCCCCAGCTGCAGAAGATCTTTGAGAGGGTCCGGCAGAGCGCAGACTTCATGCCCACATGGCAGATGAATGTAAGGAGGGCTGATTGAAGATCTGTCTTATGATGAAACTATTTTTAAAAAAAAATAGAATATATCATATCACCAAATGAGATTTTCAGACTTTACTTAAAGAGAGAACTCTGTGTGTGTGTGTGTGTGTATGTGTGTAGAAAGTTTTAGATGAGGAGCTGGGGCCAGGCTGGCGAGACAAACTATCATCCTTTGAAGACAAACCATTCGCTGCAGCTTCCATCGGCCAGGTGCATCACGGGGTTTTAAAAGACGGTAGAGAAATAGCCATGAAGATCCAGGTAGGAAGATACTCTTACACACCCTGTTTCTGTCTCCCTCACAGCCTTTGTCTTTTTCTGTCTGCACTGATTTGACATTTTGTTATTCTCATATTCCTCCTAGTATCCCGGAGTGGCAGAGAGTATCCACAGTGACATAAACAACCTGATGTCTGTACTAAAAATGAGCGTGGTCCTGCCAGATGGTAAGAGCTACATCAGTGTTACAGTGTTTGTTTGCCGACTGAAGACTTAGACAGTAACTATTAAAACCCATCTATATATCGAAATCAGAGACATATATCTATATATGAAAGGCTGTGGCAGTTGTCATATTCTTTTGTTGCTTTATTCCACACAGCATCTTAAATTAATTTAATTCAAATTCAGCCATATCGAAGATACAAAATCCAAAATCTTTAAAAAAATAAATAAATAAAAATATCCTGGAAGTTTCAAGTTATTGCTGTTATCCCTCTTCGATTGTAATTGTTATGTTTCCGGCAATTTCACTATTACAGTTTAGACCATGGGGTGGTGCTATAGGTGCAGGTCAAAACTAGGTGACACAATTGTTACAGAGAGAATGAGGGCATCTGCATCATTCATGGGAGATATGTTACTTGTTTCTCTGTGTTGCCCAATCTCACACACTCAAAACATCCAAGTGTTTAAACGATGATTCAGTTTTATTTGGTATTCAATAATGTAAACTTCTTCAGAAATTGCACAAATCAGTTCAAACATGGTAATGATTTAGCAAAATCACAAGCACAGCTATATACACCATTTACACAACAACAGCCATCTGTGATTAAAAGACAGTCAGTGTAATTGTTGCAGTAACTTCTAGTTGATGGGAGATGGAATAAGGGTGAAGCACACTGGTTATCTTGAATATATATAATCTGTGTGTGTACATATATATATATATATATATATATATATGTGTGTGTGTGTATATATTTAAGACTAAGTGTTAATAGTATGTATCAGTTTTCTTTGGTTTTTGCTCCTGAGTCTTGCACTGTTTATTTTTCCACAGGTCTGTTTGCGGACAGCAGCTTGGAGGTTCTTCAGAGGGAGCTGGCGTGGGAGTGCGACTACAAGAGGGAAGCAGAGTGTGCCAAGAAGTTCAGGTAGGTTTATGTGATGCATTGAATCATGAAACCTCCTCTCCTGAAGCTCGTTTAACTGCACAGAGAAGAAACCACAACAGCTTTTAGGTTTCACTATGGTGATTCTAAAATCAGTTAGGTAGAGGTTTCACTGAATGGTTAATACTGCTGCAAACTGAATATATTTTGCACATATGTAGTAATGTAGCTCTTTTGAGTCCAGGTACCTCAAGTCTGTATTACTCATTTATTGTTTTGTGTGTATGTGTGTGTCATCACGTGGGCATGGAGACCCCTTCTGCAGTGTGAGCTACCAAAGAGGCAGTTTTCAGTACTTTGATGTTTATATGTCACACATGATGGCATCAGAACCTGCAAGATGGAGTCACAAAACTTGACAGGTGTGTAGTTGAGATCAAAAGGAAGGCAAAAGATGGGTGTGGTCCAACTCATGAGTACTCGGTATGCGTTTAATAATGTAGTAATAACTACTGAGTACTCGTGCGTCAGCATGTTGACAGTTGTCACAGCTGGTGGGATCCCATCACAAGATGGTCTCGGCTTTTATTCTAGATGTCATCAGACTGAAATTCCTGTCTGTTACTTTGATTTATTTGTGTGTCTTTATGTGGGGACCTCAGGCTTTGTGCCTCTATTCTAATTAATTTTAATTCTTTTGAATAGTTTTGAAAGCTTCACCACTATTATTCTTCCTACTACTATCTATAGTAATATTATGGATTATTATCGTTGTCATATTTACATGTTGAAGGCAGGTTATGTATCACAGTTATTAAGCTTATTATAGGAAAAGCAGTCTGAGGCTTAGATTTTCTAGGTACTATATTTAGTTTACTCTTATTCAGTCAACAACTGTATTTTAACTCACAATTTTTAGTCACTGTTGACTATCTCTATGTACATGTTTTACTGAATTTGCATATTCTCTATATATTCGTGTCCGGCCTTCAGGTCCCTGCTGGAGGGAAATGAGTTCTTCCAAGTCCCTGAGGTGATTGATGACCTGTCAGCAAAGAGGGTTCTGGCCATGGAGCTGGTACAGGGAGTCCCACTGGACCGCTGCGTAGACCTGGACCAGGAGACCAGGAACCAGGTATGGACTGACTCAGCAGGCGCATGGAATTTCCTCAGTGTCACTTAAATGCCAGTGGTGCATTGGAGATGTGGAGAATCATCGTTTTAATGGGTTCTCTGGCATTAGAGAGGATTTTTCTAATGCTTAACTTTCAAATATTCATAAATGTAAAAATTCAAATATTATATAACTGCATGATGGGCTGACGTTCAGTTGTGTTTTCTCTTTACTAAAACCTGCATCACATCAGGAAACCAGGGAGCAATAACTTCTTCTCCGTGATAAAAGTGCTTAAGTCTTATCAGTTCATGTATATTGAAGGAGAGGTAATGACATTTTACATGAGATCTACAGTGACAATTGTGCATAGTACCCTAAGTAGCAGAAAGGTTTACAGTTAGAGGGTCCCTCACAGTCTGGACCTGTAATTGTAGGAACCAATTAGAACTGAAACCCTATGACAAGTAGAGGGAACAGATTGGAAAGCTCTGTCTGTGGATTTTTGTTTACCTTTAATGCATCGTATATCTGTATTTCATTGTTTCTACTGCTTATATGGAGGTTTTGCGGGACGTCTTTTGAGATATGCCATAATATGAGAAGTGCAGGACTGAGGAGACAAGCTGTGGGCTGGCAGATTATACAACAGAACCTCAAACGCAGCAGTGAAAATACCAGAGTATCGTGACATAGAATAAGATGGATGAAATGGGTTTTATGCATCAGACATTATTAAGAGCTATAGCATGAAAATGTCACATTCATAATTACAGCATAGCAGTAAACACAAAACTCTCCTCTCCTCCAGATCTGTTTCAACATCCTCCAGTTGTGTCTCAGGGAGCTGTTTGAGTTCAGGTTCATGCAGACAGATCCAAACTGGGCCAACTTCTTCTACAACTCAGAAACCGACAAGGTGAGAAGTCATAAATGAATTGTCTCACACAGGAAGGGATGCCATGTTGACCAAAATCCTCACACGCAGCAGGTACATGACACGCTCTCATCTTGCCTTCAGGTTGTTCTGTTGGACTTTGGAGCGTGCAGAAGTTACGCAGAGTCATTCACAGACGACTACATACAGGTAATGATGCATCTAAAATTATGAGACAGCCACCACTGAACCAATCAACGTGATTTATGCAACCAGATTTCTGTGAATAATTAAGCACAAGAGTCTTTGGCTACATTTTGCAACAGTAGAGGTAAAACAGATCGTGTACAATCACATGCACATGCAGCACACTTTGCCCTACTTGCAGCTACTTCGATCTGTCGGTTGCCCTTAAGGGAACTCTTCAAATAAACATGATTACCATATCCATACAATCGTTTTGTCTGTGTGTGTTGTTTTGCGTGTTCAGGTGGTGCACGCAGCTTCAGTGGGTGATCGAGCGACTGTTCTCTCCAAATCAAAGGACCTGAAGTTCCTGACAGGCTTTGAGGCCAAGGTACGGTATTTTCGTCTCTGCTGCTGTGCTCATTTATTTTTGATATGGTTTATCCTCCTCTGTCTTATTCTCTTTATTCGTGCCTCTGTATACCTCAGTTTCACTCCCTCTGCTTGATGCTGTTTCCCTCCACTCAAGATGCATGATCCTCCTTCTTCTTTTCTTACCAGATTCATTTGTATCTTTGCTGAAGACATCGTGTTTTCAGCCCTGTTTGCCACACATAAAGATGGCTCAGCATTAGTGAATGGATTTGCAGAGTAGTGAAGGAAAAACTGATTCACTTTTAATCTTGACAGTAAAACTAACTGAGACAGATGGATGTGTAAAATATAAATGTCAGGAATTATATCTTTGATTGAGGGCTGTTGTAAGCTGTACGGTGTCATCTAGTGTGGTCTTTATTCTCAGTGTTTTCCATATATTAAATCCTTATCCTATTTTTATATAAAATGTGACTATGACTCAAGGAAAATACCCAGACAAAATAGTTGGAACCACTTGTTACACATATCAAACAGAAATGAAAATATGTGTGTATGTATTTATATATAGTGGGATTGTATATACAGTATAGCTACATAAGATATTATGTACACTTGAGGTCATAATGTTTCTTGTAAACATTTCCTCAGGCTGCCTCAGAGGACACACAGCGTAAAGTCTGTTTGTGTTGTGTAAGCACACAGTGTCTCTTCTGCTTTACAACTTCATATTTAAATCATAGTACAGATGATTATTATACACATAGATAGTCATTTGAAATGTAACACCTCTCCCTACTTCCCATCAGGCCTTTGAGGACGCCCACGTGGAGGCGGTGATGATCCTTGGTGAAGCCTTTGCGTCAACGGAGCCCTTCGACTTCGGCACCCAGAGCACCACCCAGCGCATCCAGAGCCTCATCCCCGTCATGCTGCGCCACCGCCTTACCCCTCCACCCGAGGAGACGTACTCCCTCCACCGCAAGATGGCAGGCTCCTTCCTCATCTGCTCCAAACTGAAGGCAGGCATAGCCTGCAAGGACATGTTCCTGGAAGTGTACAACAACTACAACCAGAGGAGGCAGGCGGAGCAGGTGGCGCAGGCCAGTGCGTAGACGCTCAGGAACAAGGTTACTGCACAGGACTTTTTCAGAGTGGGCTTCTGAGTAAAGGGACAGATGGATGGAGTCTTGAATCCACATGTGGAGACACTGGATCAGATGTACCCAAGACTCCACCCCTTGCCAATATGTAACTGTAAATATAACTATGCCAGTGTGCACCAATGAGAGCTATGAGTGTGTTTGACTTTCTATGCCTGTCTGAATTATGACATGGAATTTAAACACTATGAAAATGATGGTGATAGTTCCGTTATAGCAAATATATGCTAAAGCCCAAATGGCTGATTAAATCTGTATGTTAATTGAAGAGAAAAATATTTAATTCGTTTTGAGTGTTGGTGTGTGTGTTATATTGTGACTATATTGGATACATCTCTCTGTCACAGCAAACAGACTAGAAAACGCACGCAGTAGAGCACATGTCTCTGCCAAAGCCAATGTCAAACAACCACCAGATTTCATAGGAAAAAATTTGAATTCATAGTAAATGATCCGGATCTGCCATGAAATTTTAATGGGTTCTTCCCCAGTTCATGCTGCATTCCTCCACCGAGTTCAGCGCAAAGCAGTTCAGTGCTTTTTGCATAAACCTGCTGAAAAATCAACAAACAAACAAACAAACAAACAGACACAGGTGACCTCCTTGGTGATGGTAACAATATAATGCTGCTGTAAATCTAAGCCATCTTTATGTGCTTTAGCTTTTCAAAAAGCAAGATGTATATGCCTTTTGTGCTCCCAGTGGCTCATGACTCCAGCTCACTTTGACAGCAAGGTATCCTCTGTTTTTCAGGACAGATAATAAGCCCTGCATCGCCAAGCTGACGCTGCCAAGTGCTTTCTTTTGTTAGAAGGACTTTGTGTGCCGCCTGATGAGCTGGCAAATAAAGCTTTTCTCCTAAACTGGCAGACTAGATGAGCAGATTATCAGAGGCTTTAGTGAAGACGGTCTAATGGAACCCCACTGAGTAATGACCTTGCATTATAAAGCATATTTTGACATAAAACTCCATAATGTTAAATAGAGTCCTTTTTTTTTTAATGTTTTGACACTTCATTATGAGATTCATAGAGTACATGTGTACTGTAACATACAAGCTGGTGTGCTGTGTTTTTTTTTTTTTTTGATTAAATAAAAAGTGAAAAAGATGTTTAGGCATTACAAATTGAGCTTTCCTGGCAAGTGTCAAGGATTTCTTCCACTCTGTATTGATCTTTCCATTTCAGTTTTAGACCTATTTGGGAAATGTCATTGACTGGAGGCCATGTTTGACATCATTCTGTTCCTACACTGTTCTTGTATTGACCAACAGGCATCACGGTGCAATAGTTTTGGCTCAAATAATGTACGAGCTAATGGTGGCATTGATTGATCTATTTTTTGAGGAGCTATTTCTGTCTCAAGGCAGTGCTGTCTTATTTTGTCTTGGATCAAGCCGTTACTGCACAAAAGGACTGTCTGCGAGCTGCTCACAAAATGTTATTGTTCACAGCACAGAAGCTGAGAGGCGAGGCTTTCACTGACATCATAAAAATCTGATGGAGAGAGATCAGCCTTTTACTGTATCTCCATTAGTACTTGCTGTTAGTGTCCCTCCGTTAAGTGAGGTTGGCTCTTGATACACTACATCAAATCAGAGTTTATTTTTCTGAGTTTTGGGAATTGGCCGCAGTTAATGACTGCAGCACATGTCGAGAGAAGAAAAAGCACATTCTTCTCTCGTAGTTTTACGCAACGGAAAGTTGGAGCGTTTCTCTGCATGTAAGAAGCAGCTGGCTTCAGTTTGTTGGTGGAGAGCTGGCTCTTTCTGGACCCAGTCAGGCTTTTCATTAGGGCTAACACTGTTTAGGACTGTTTAGGAATAATTTCTACCAGGACCAATTCATTTATTAAATTAAAAACACAGTGACACATTCTGAGTGAGTTTTTCAGGTTGTACATTTTGTTTGTGCAAAGAAAACCATTTGACGTCTGGTAGATTTTTTTGTCGATGATAATCTGACGTTACAGTTAAAGTCGACTGGGAAAACATTAAGGGACAGTTGGCAGCCTCTCTGCCTTGTAGACATATATTTACTGTATATTATATCGGCTGAACTGCCTGCATCACTAACCTTTACTGTTTCTGTCTTACAGGTTTCATTAGGATTTCTTAAGGATTCTTACTGGTAATAGTGAATTTTCTGTGTTCAATTGTATTTTTTATTTTTATTTTATTATTAGATCCTGTGGCATCATTTTTCATATTTATCATAAGAGCTACGACGGAGGACACTGAGGTCACAGCCTCTGTAGTTTACCTGGGAAATTGGGGTTTCCAGGAGTTTGTACTCTATAATGAAAAAGTGCCACTTTATGAATATTTCATGGACTGATTCCAGACTTTTTCAGGCTGAATATATTTACTAGTCATAGTAAATATATTCAGCCAGTCACAGTAAATACAAATGGATTCAGAATATCTTTTATTCCTGATAGTAGTGGTTAAATTTAACTCAAACACTGTACTTACGTAACTATTTGAGGTATTTGTGCTTAACTTGAGTATCTCCATTTCATGCTACTTTATACTTTTTACTCCACTATATTATTCTGACAGCTTTGGTTCCTACCTACTTTACAAATAAGGATTTTACATGCAGAACATACTGTATGATGAGCTTATAAAATACGATGCATTCACTGTTATACCCATCAGTATATAGAATATTTAAAATCAGCTCCATCTTGACCAGCTACAACAGTAAAATGCTATTTAAACATTAATGCATCAGTAATAGTAATTGATGGACATTATATAGTATAACACAGACAGAGTCCGTACATTACATGTAAGTACATTTGTTGCTAATGCTGACTTTTGAATACTTTTATGCAATGCAGTGCAAGACTTTTACAAAAAAATTGTATTTTTAGGCAAGTATTACTACTTTTACTTAAGTAAATGAATGACTAACATATAAAGCATTCAAATATTCATTTTCTTTTTGTTGTCTGTTCAAAAGGAGAGTGCATAAGGACTTGAACTAAAGATCTCAGTGTTTTTCAAATCAAAGCAGGCATAGTTTTACCATCATATAACCTGATATCAAGGCTGGACACTGACTCATAAAGAGCTAATGGATAAAGTGCATTTAAACCCTGTGAAAGACTCATTGTAGACAACCTGCCAAGCATCTGACTTGACAAATCGCCCTTGAAGATGTTTTTCAGGTTGGCCCCCCAAAGGCTCCCTGCGGCTGCTCATAGAAACAGAAGAACTTTCCTTCAGGGATGATTGGAGTAACACATTATCACAGCAGGTCAGACACCACACGGTGGCGCAGTGGAGTGCCTGAAACAGAGCCTTGCGTTTTTTTTTTGTTTTTTTTTCTTTTCTGGAAAACATCAATGGGAAGAGTGGATTTGCATGTCCGGCCGTCTGTGCCAATGGGTGCACTGGAAAGGCTGGGTTAGCGGGTGGAGCCGGGGGAAGCAGCCCAGTAAGTGCACAGTCAACAACCAAAGCATCCGAGATTACTACAGACACACCAATTCTCACCGAGATCTCCCTCGAAAGCTCGTGTCGTTGCCTTTTTTTTTTATTTTCTATTTTTGTCTTGAATTCATGAGTGAGATTGAATCGCTGCTGTGAACCTTTTTTTTTTTTTTTTTTTTTTTAAATTTTATTTGTGTGTGTATGTGTGTGAATGTGTATGTGTGCGTGTGTGTGTGCGTGTGTGTGCACCGACCAGGTTGATTCGCGGCTCCACATCGCCTCAGTATCATCGCGGATGAAGAAGACTTTGTGAAATTAGCAGTTACAGATTATTCTTGTGCCTGTATTTGTGCCCGGGGTCCTGGATTTACACAGAGGAGGAGCGGGGAGCCGATCATCCGTCGTTCTCTTGGGTGAGTTCACGTCCACTCTGGCATCCCCATTTACTGACACTTCCAGGGTTATTTTGGACAACCCGGTTCCTGCCCTCACAATGAATGAATCCATATACAAGAAGTGGACGATCCACTCTAAACTCACATTAAATTCCTGATTTGTTGAGTTTCATGGCTGTAGTCTAATTCTGATGTTTGACTGCTGCGCTTATGCATCGCCTGTGGGCCCATATGTGTGAAATGAATGAAATGTTGACGCTCCAGCCTTTATCATAACGGTTTACATCCCTTATTCATAACGAAGGAGCAACAATATTCAAGTTCCGGCACACAGATCGCTTCAATGTGGATATAAACCCATAGAAATATTCCACTGATGCCACATTAAATTAAAAAAAAACTGCAACTTTATAGGTCTACTATTGAAATACAGCTCGTATAATGATCAAATTACACCTATAATTGCAGTTTATGACGTCATTATTGGTGTGGGAATGAGATAATGTGGTATCGATTGAGCTGTAGAGAGTCACGTTGATTATTGGGTAATTGTTGGCTCATAGGTTTTGCTTTAGTTGCAGTCTTTCTAGGTTTTTTTTTCTCCAGGACAGAAACAAGCGCCCCTGACTTTGAATATGTAAGACCATAATTCTACCTGCTTCTTTCTCTGTCTCTATCTCCCTCCATTGCATCATGCTATGTGATGAATTGTGCCTTTTTGGGTGTGCTTACATCATTCTCAGAGTTATTCAGGGCTTATTTTTTTTGTGTTGCAAAAAAAAGTTGCAGCAGCGAACTGTGATCTGCCTCTTGTTCTCTGACTTGAATGGGAGATTGATAGAACATGAGAGGAAAAAGTGCCAAAGTATGGCATTCAAACGACTGAGAGACTGGAGTCATAAAGCACACACACACACACACACACACACACACACACACACACACACACACACACACACACATACACACACACACACTTGGCACATGCCTTCCTATATAGACCCAGTAAATGCATGCAGCTCCATTGTCTGTGGAGCTCCATCTGTTCCATGACATAGCATTCCTCAGACAGCCAGTCATGCTGTTAGGGGGTGGTCCACCCTGACCCATTGCCTCAGAGAGAGGGAGAGAGTCACATGGGGTGTATTAAGAGAGTAGGTACAGGGCTCAGGGTGTCTCAGCCCGCAAGCCCTAGACCACCTGCGTGGACAGCTCCTGGGCCAGGGTGGAGAGCTACATTCGGGCCAGGGTGGGTTTAGTGGAGCTCTAAAGTTGGCCTGAGATTGGGCAAGAGGATGGGACGTTTGGATTGGATCACAAGCTACATTAAGGCTAGGTTTGTTGTAGAGTTGGAGTAGAGGGGTGCTATGTTTGCTCCAAAGCTAGGGTTAGACAAGGTCTGTTGCTGTAGCATGGGCAAGATGGACTAGAGAAAGGATAGGTTGGGTCTGGAGCTGGAGTTAGAGGAA